TGAATTTGATTGAATAGTCTCCCATTGGTGATGAGTCTTCAATAGCTTTACTTATTTTACATGATTATCTCTAGACATAATGGTATGGAGTGCCGAATGTTTATAAAATTGAAACTCTCATTCCCTCTCCTACTTGCTATACATTGTAAACATTCTAAATTGAGACACTCTAAAGGTTAACTTCAAAGACATCTTTCATGAAGGAACATTCACTGCTGTAATGTTGCATCAAGGTCTAGTTACATTACATCTTCCAGAATTCTTGGTTTAATATTAAGGAAGATTCACCCATCTACACTGTTTCCCTCTTGGAAAGTTTATTTCTCTTAAGGAAGAAAGTAACTGATATTCTTGGGTCTTTATTAAGGATACAATGACATTATTATAATACATCTTAACGTTTTTTTCAATATATTTGGTTTTGAAAAATGTTAAAATTTTATGCATGAGCCACTTTAAGCAATTTTCCCCTCATTCTATCATCCGGTTTCTGGTTTCATCAGTTTTGAGCAGATCAGAGCATTACTTCACATAAAAAAATATTCTATACACCGATTCTTTTTTGATCATTTGTCTTTTAAATTATTGCTATTATAAAGTTGTCATTTTGTCGATACTTTTAAGGTGATTTTCCATCCTTCATTCAAAGGACTTCATTTATTACTTAATTAATTGGAAAGAAGTGAAATACCCTTGGACCAAGGATGGTGATTTTCCAGAGTACGAGTAGTATGAGTGATTTTTCAGAATAGAATATGGGGATTACCACATTCAGATCACAAACAAATTCCTACATTGATTAACCATTCATTTGATGTTAAAACTTGTCATGTTATGTAATATTCCAGATGGTGTTACACTCACCTGGCTATTTACATGGTCTTACTGCATAAAACATGATAAAATGCCTCATTAGAATCATTTTGCAGATTAATATGTTAATCATTGGATTAAGTTATAATATGTACTTTAACTTTAACCAAAAAATAATTGTTTTGTACATCTAATAGATGAAAAGAGACAATGCAATATCAGTTTATATCAATTACCATAAGTAAAGTATAAAGTGAAGTTATCCTAACCACCTATTCAGATACAGTGATCTCTCCATCATTAAAGCAAGTGGGCATAGCACCCAACTGAGATTTTAAAGAAGCTTGTACCCACCTGAAAATTTATTTGCACCAACTTGAAAATGAGAAAAATCAAGAAAATTTTGACCTATTTGTCGTGAATTGGGAAAAATCCTGTAGAGAACACTGAGATATTTTTGGTAATCATTCCACAGTCATACACATAGAGAAATTGGCAAATAAATTACTGAACTATTAAAATTGAAAATACATATGCAAGGACCATATAAAAAATCAACTCTATTTTTGTACTCAACTGTTTCAAAGTCAGAATTCCCAAACACCTCCTAAAGTACATTCTCCTCCATGTAAGTAATCAACTTTGCTCAACAAACCAGAAACGAGCATGATAAAAACATTATTTAGGCAGCGACTTGTTCAATAAGAGATATGATAACTGTCTCTAGGTAATGTGTGTACCATGTAAAGCCCATGATTTATCCCTGGTTTATCATCAAACTAGTTGTATTTTATATTGGCATGTATTTTAGTTGACATCTATGACATTTTAGGTAAATATTAAATGTTTTATAGTACTTTACCGTTTAATGTTCATGCGCTGTATACCCCTTTACAGTGAATTATGGTACATAGGTAGTGGGTGTAAAATGTATTGATTGCCCACATCTGGTTTAAACAAAAACTTACTTCAAAACCAGCTCAAATACTCATAGTATGTATAAAGTTGACTAAAACATATTTTGATTTTATTTCACATATGCCCCCCCCCCCTTCCTTTATATAGATTAGGTGTGCAAATACAATACCTTCTAGTATCCGTCTCTATCTGTTTATAAAGAAGTCCCTAAGCATACTATCTCTAATCTCCCGACATCATCTTTGGCACCATTCTAAATTTCATGTCCTTTTTCAATTTTGTCTTGGCATTTATCAACTTCCTTTGAATGAGTAACTTCATAAAATATCCTATCATACAAATATCAAAGGTTCAACCACAATTCAACATTAGAATTCAATACATTTTCTAAGGATTGGTTTAAATGCAAAATTTATAACAATAATGTCTGGAGTCTTTAGAAGAAATAACACATTTGAGGCACCCTTAACTCAGAAACCTTTTATATTTTTGAGAGTACAAACTTTGTATAAAACCCAAACAGGATTTACAGAATAATGGAAATGTGTTTATATAAATACTGAGTTTATATACACAAGTAATACCTGCAAAAATGCATCTTTGCCATGACAGTTTGACAGTAAAAATTAGTTTAGTTTGACTTTGCTTCTTTAAATAGAGTTTTGTCTACAAATTAGTTTAGAATCAAACTCTGCAGTGTACTCTTGGTATGGGCCTTACTTCAAAATTTGCCCTCTCCACATATAACTATATGGAATATGCAATATGGAAAGAGAAAGATTTCAAGAACGACCTCCCAGCATATTTAAGATACTACAATGGCGGATCCAGAAATTAACAAGGAGGGGCCCAAATTTTGAGTCCATAAAAACGATTTTAGGCCCCTAGAACCAAAGATTTGGCCCAAATTTTGAAAAAGTAAGGCCTATTTTTGATACATAGGCCAAAAAAGGCCCAAAAAGGCCAAATTATGTCCAAAATGCCCAGTTTTTGAGACCCTACAAAATTTTGGGACCCAAAAACTTTAGAAAATGGCCCCTCGGATCCGCCACTGTATTACTTATTGGTGCTCTACCCATTCTTGGTCACTCTTAATATAAAACTCACTGCTTATTCTGTAGTTTAGGCTGTAGAAATCACAATGGCTCTACCTTGTTAGTTCCCAAACTATACCATTCTTTTGAAACCTACAACTCTTAATTGCCACTTCCCCTTACCAGGGATTAATCCTTTAAATCCCTCTTTCATAACACCTTCACTGATCCTTTCAAATATACAATGACACTTAGCAATACGCATTATATATGGTCGGATTTATGTCTACATGCACCTATAATAAAACTCTCAGACTCAGAGCCTCAAATATTTAGTAAAGTATGCGTTACTTTAAGAACCTTTCACCAAGCTTCAATTTACCCCAGTGTGTCAACTTACTTTCATCGCAACATAAGTTTAGTTATTTTGGCAGTAAAATGAAAACGTTGAATAACATCAGAAGGGGAGTATTTTGGAACACAACAGAAAGTAAAATTGACAAAGATAAGCCGGGTAAGGCACTGTGTTATGCTCCTCAATTGAACCAATAATCAACGTGCCAAAATCCACATGAGATGGAAAGTAATCGTTCGGTTAATCCCATGATAATCTCTGTATGTTTTCAATTGTTACTGTGGCCCTATACAAGACTTATTGTGAATTATTTGTCTTGAGGGCATTTTCCATAATATTATTAAAACCAATAACTTTTATTTGACCTTCCTAATCCAGATATTAAAATTGCAAGACTGTCAACTGTGTGACATATCAATATTTCCCAAAAATGTTTCATTTTGAACATTATACGATGCAACTGTATAGCTTACTACTGTCTTTGACTGACATCTTTAAACCTTATTTTCGATTAAACAGCTGAAGGCAAAGTAGTGTAGCATACTCACTCAGATTTCCAAGGAATAAAGGTTTCAAAAACCAAACTGGCAAGCAAAACTGGTAAGCAAGTATGAAGCATACCAGCATGTAGAATAATTTCAAATTATGAATAAGCAAAAGATTCAAGTTGATTGAAAACTGGTTTATAAATCGACTAATTATTAGTCTTTTACAGCCCTTTGTGTAGAGCTATATTTACTATTCTAAATATTTCTATTTTAACATGGAAGAAACATCAAAGGTCTATACATTCGACATATATTCAAAATTCTTATTCTGAATAGATTTAAAATACAATCTTATTTAATCATCAGCAATAATCATAAAATACAAATACCCACTGTATAAATACATGTCATTCATTCATGCATTCAATTTTCATATAGAACAGATTGGTTGTCAATTATTCTTATACATTCATTTTCAAACCCAATTCATGTTTTTCAAACCTGCAACACAAAATAAATACACTGCATTTAATTGTATGAGATGACTTTTAACCACTTTATGTCATAACAACCTTGGAGGAAATTACAAAATAATAGCTTCCTACTTAATATTTTGTACAACAATCAAAAGAACTGAATGTATCATTCAATAAGACCTACTGTAGAACATGTTTTATTCAGGCGTGTATTTTTACAATTTCAGAATTTTGTAGCATTTTCTATTGATCCACAAGATTTCAGTCAGAACCATAAGTCTAAGATGCCTGTATTTTGAGATATGATACATTCATGATTTCAAAGTTCACCATTGATATTAATGTTAAAATTCAAGAATTAGACCATGAGGGAATTTTAGCATGTAGTTAACAAAATGAAGATGTTTTGCAGTATCTATGAACTTTTTATGAAAAGTCATCATAAACTCTTATAACCCTTTGAAGCCTGTGTGTATATTCTTGTCACGTTAAATTCATAAATAAGTTCACAAATATGACCCGACGCAATACTCATATAAACACCTCACATTTGCATTTAAAGTATTATGTTTCTTTCATGCATCGTCATTACCAACTGCTGAACCTCACCCACACAATTTGGGCTAAATTTTGGCTTCATTTGTTCAAGGTTTATTCTATGTCCCCCTCCCTACTTCTTAACAAACAAGTTCAAAACTAGATGGCTCATAGGTCACGTATCTATTTCAATTTTCCCTCCTCAAAAACACAGGGAAAAAAAGGTTGGGAATTAGGTGCTTGGTGCGATGCGGGATCGGAACCCTGAATCTATCATGATCATACATGATGCCAATGACTACAGGGACCAGAGATTAAATGGACTTGTTTGATTAACCCACAAAACTGTGTTTGTCGATTATATGTAATTCACACTTACTTTGTGATGATGTTCTCAACTCAACAAAACAATCAGACACAGAATTTGTTCTCGTCCCCTGTGTTATCTGCTAGTTTTCACTGATTTGTGACTCCTACCTGTAAAAATAGAAAAATAACACATCATAATAACAAGCTGTGATGAAATGAATATTTTATACAAATCGGTAGACCCCCAGTATTGAAACAAGTGGGTACAGCAAGCAAGTAAGGGAAGCAAGATTTTAAAAAATGAGCATTTACCCAATTTAAAGTTGTACCTTCTAAAAAATAGAAAAAATGAATATTTTGACCAACTTTTGGCAGATTGTGAAAATGTGATTTATTGCAGCCACTTCAGATATCCTGAAAAGAACATCTACTGCAAATAACAAGTCAATGGTTAATTTTGTGCATTCTTGTTGAAGTATTTGACTAAACTTACAATATTCATTGCTTCATATCTTAGTTCCATTCACCCATATAAAACAAAAACTAGTCAGATCTATCATCTCAATTTTTATGCATTATTCTTGAGTTTATTTGCACAACTATTTTACATTACAAGATGAAGATCATGTAGTCTAAATAAAAAAGTCAAATATTGTTGTTTTTACCTAGTAACATGCAGGAATATGAAGTTGTTCGCGTTTTTCTGAGGAAAATACTTAAACCAGTTGCATATAATACCACAGCACACAAAGTATTATGATTGATTGAAAACCTAAAAGTGGCCCATTGAAAACCATCTCAAGTATATCACCCACTATTAAACTCAACATTTTCAAATAATCAGGCTAAATGTCAACTGTTTTTGAAAAATAGATTTTTTATAGCCGGTATGCCTAAATTAAATATGCTGAGTACATACAACATGCCAGGTACATGTATATAAATATGCATGTATAATATGTTATGAAATGGTAAGTAAGGGCATATGTGGTTTGTGTTTACAAATTCTAACATCACCTATGCAAAGAAGATAGCTCGACTCATTCCCCAAATGATGCTGAAAATGTCAGTTATAGAAATGTAGTTAATATACTACATCTGCTTCCCCGTTTCAAAACAAAACTGGAAATGATTTCAGTGATTATGACTCAAATATGAATGTTTAACCTGTATATTACCCAGTTTTAGTCTTCATAGTATGAATCCTAATCTGTATATTGCTTGCTTAGTAGGATATTAGATACAAGACCAATTAAAACCATGCATGGTTTAATTAAAACATCAAAGATTCCCAATAACATAGAGCAGTTAAATAGGGAGATCAAAATCCCAATTTCATTTACCTTTTTTTAATGATCGGAAATGATACCTGAGATGTCTTTGCCTAAGTTGGCACAATAATACCACGTTCATGGGAAAATACCATATCTATCCCATAACAAAAATGTATGGGTCAAGTTTGAAAGTTGAACCTTCAGAATTGCCGATGATCTAACATGGCCTGTGTTTCAAGTAAGCTTAGACCTCCTATCAATATATGCTGGGAATCTTACACCACATTTCGGTTACAGTTATCTTAATTGTTATCAAAAAGTGTTGAATTCACAGGCTCTAAGGGGTAGATGTTCACCTGTATAAAATGTACGACTAAATGAGTCAGATTTCTTTACTTAACCTGATGAATCCCAGGCTCTAAAATCGGTTTGAAACCAGAGAATGTTTCATTTTTGCCAGCTTTTGACATTTAACTACAGTAAAACCTGTCTAATCCGAACGCATTGGGACCGGATAAAAGCGTTCAGATTAGGAGGTGTTCACATTTCAAGGTTTTTGCATCCGCAATAATCCAGATTCTGAAGAAATGTGAACACATTCTCGGTAAATATTTATAGTTCTTTTGACCACATAGCTTTATGGCATTCCAGAAGCAAATTTGATTCAAATGAATCTAATCATGCTGGAAAGCCCCATTATGAATGAGACCATTCAAGATTATTTCCCAAAGTTTTGATATCATGATAAAATTTGAGCAATTTTGGATAAAACATCAGAAATTTTATGAAAAGTGTTCAGATTAGACAGGTGAATTTTTCAAATATGACTGTTCACTGTTCAAATTGGGAGGTGTTCACATTTCAAGTTTTTTTAACATGGGAGTCAATGGGAGGAAAAAATGGGACCGAAAAAAAATGTTCAGATTGGGAGGTATTCAGATTAGCCAGGTGTTCAGATATACAGGTTCTACTGTATATACATAATCAAGGTGATGCTCATCTAAGTGAAATTAGTCAGCAGAGATCATTTCTACACATTTTGAGAAATTCTTGTGTAAATTGGATGAAAATTGTCCAAATTAGAGCAAGTTTAGTGAAAATTTTGTAACAGATTATCTTGTCACTCAAGGTTTTAAGGTAATTTCTAGGGTGACTAAAAAACTTGTCAATCTGAGTAGTAAAGAGATTAAGCAATCTTAAATCTATTGGAAGGATGACTGTTGTCTCCCTGAAGTGTGAAGAGAAGTGTGAAGATAAGTATTCTGACAAAACAATAAATACATATCAGGATATTTTGATTTTTTAACAAAAGTCTCTGCAATCTAAGGAGCATTTGTTTTTGTACATATTCAGGTTTTCTTATTATGACCTTCATCTTGCCTCTTTGACCTTTCCAAATATGGTCATGTAAGCCATGATAGGTAGATTGTGCATGGTGGCAGCTAAGGCCTCGCCAAACCAAGGGTCAGAAAATTTTTGGCGAAGGAAAATGCAATTTGTCTCGACAATTTCGGCGATAGATAATTGAGCCCATGAGAAACAGATATAAATGCTTAACCTTCTAAACAAATAGTTTGTCAATCTTACCTCTAGAATCGCTAAAATACTTGTAAAAGCAGGAAAAAGTTTTTTATTTATTTTTATGTTCCAGACCGCAATTCAATGAAAACGCACCTTTGATTGGCTTAAAACTAAGTGGTGGACCAATCAAAGCGTTCGATGCAATACATAATACAGCTTGAACTACGAACAAAATTATTCTTGCCGTTCCATAAATTCAACCAATATAATTATTTCGTCTTCTTGCGATTTTTATTTATAATTCGATTAACGCTGTAATTGAGGAACTTACCGCTGTATTAATCAGAAGTTTGAGCATTCACGACCTACAAATACCCAGACGAGTAATCGTATGACCGTTTCATACATGTAATTTTAAAATCATATTTTATTTGTTCGCATTTCTTGTAAAGTGCTTACGTAGTATGCAAAATAGCAGCAAATTCGATTCACGATGTCTCTTAACTTTTAAGGTAGGTCATTTTCTACTGAAAAATGTCCAGTCATAAAATATTTTGGCGAGTCTGAATTCAAAGTGAGTGGTCAAATTTGGCTAGAGTGAAAATATCCTTAGCTGCCACACTGTTGTGTAATGTACATTATATCCTAGATTATATATACAGTAGAACCTGTATATCTGAACACCTGGCTAATCCGAACACCTTCCAATTTGAACACTCTTTTCGGTCCCATTTTTTCCTCCCATTGACCCCCATGTTAAAAAAACCTTGAAATCTGAACACCTCCTAATCTGAACAGTGAACAACCAGATTTGAAAAACTGACCTGTCTAATCTGAACATTTTATCACATATTGAGTCAATGTTATAGTTCTTATTATCTTTACATATGCAATGTAATCAAAGAACCAATATTGTCCTAATTAACTTATTTAAGTCTCAATGACATCCCTAATTGTGGAAAATAACAGGCAAGGTGTGAATACAGGAGTTAATTGGTTTATCCTATTAGAAAAGAACTGAATGTTTTATGTTTGGATTAAGAGAAAGGTGTGAATCAAGAAGATAATTGGTTTATCCTTATTTTAAATTAACTGGATGTTTTTGATTTGGATTATGAACAAGTCTTAACTTTTTTATATCCCATGGGTCTGTTATGATAGCTAGGATTCAATCAGTAAATGTTTTATAATCACAGAGACAACACAGACACATTTGCAGACAAGATTATAATTGTTTTATCATTATTAAAAATTACCTGGATGTTTTTGATTTGGATTAAGAGAAAGGTGAGAATCTGGGAGATAATTGGTTTATCCTTATTTTAAATTAACTGGATGTTTTTGATTTGGATTATGAACAAGTCTTAACTTTTTTATATCCCATGGGTCTGTTATGATAGCTAGGATTCAATCAGTAAATGTTTTATCATCACAAAGACAACACAGACACATTTGCAGACAAAATTATATCACGAGAAAGAGAAAAAATTCAACTTCGTAATATCCTATCACTAAAATGCCTCCTAAAAAGGCACATCTGACATCCTGAATGCCCTTGATATTTTGAAAGATTATGCATCATCTCGAATGAGCACTCATGAAACATTCTTTTTAATTGACCTTTTGCGATCAGAATTCAGGAATTTTGTTTATGGATACTGTTGTCATGTATTTCGTCTTATTGGTGTGACGTCATATAGAAATGATATTAGACATGATGGAATCACGAAATGGCGGACACGTGGCAGTTTTGAGCTAAAAATATTGTCGTTTCTTTTATGAAAACCATGGGTCGGATATTTACCAGGTATGCCGATTTGACTAGATCATGAATTTATCTATATATGTGCGAAGCTTGGGTGAAATTCAAACCAAACATCGATGCCTATAAGCGTCCCCCGTTTTTGTCAAAATCGGGGGGCGCTTAACCGCTATCTAAATCATGTCAGTAAGATCTAAAGCACGAAATATGGAAGATAATCTCTCAAAATCAAACACCTAAGCTGGGTGACCTAATTGTGACGTCACTGCAAGATAGAATCCATTCGGTGATCGCAAATCATCAATTGAAGAGGGTACACTACTCAAATATTGATAAGTGCCAAGAAACAAACAACAATGAACGACTTTTTCAAGCTAAAGTAAAGCAGTGCTATGTAACCATAATATGAGATAAGTCATTTAATAAGCATAAGATTTCGTACAAGACTATCATATACTTATTCAGTGTATTACAAAGTTTTTGCCAAAATTAAAGAGTTATTTTTTCAAAAATAATGAAATTGTTCAAAATGTAAATAAAACATAGCATATACATGTAGGCTAATAGGCCTATTGTAGAATAAACTCATCAACAACATGTATTGTTTTCTGACTAAGTATTTAGTGTTCAATATAGTGGACTGAACAATGAAAATCCCCCCCCCCCCCGACCAACAATATCCTCGAAATTTGAACACCTGCCAATTTGAACGCTTTTGGCTGGTCCCATGGGTGTTCGGATTAGACAGGTTTTACTGTATTATATAATTTATATAATTATATTCTTGTAAATATGACTCGGGGGGGGGGGGGGCTACACAGTGATCTGGTATTTATCGCATCCTACGACCCCTTTAGATTGTGGTCGTACGCCCGATTCATTGGTAAGCCTGTCTTTCTACAATGTCGGAGAATGAACTATGCATTGCACTATTAAATGACCTACCTCGATACATTCCAGAGTATTTTAGAATTCTTCTTATGTTGTTAGATTGCCAATTGTATGGGTTTATCGGCAGAACGAAGAGATTTTAGTTTTTACATCGGAAATATGTCAGCAATTTTCAAAATGTCGGAAGGGGAATTCTCCAGGGATTTCCCTTATGACTGGTGCATGCCGGGAACTGAATGGAGGAATTTGACGGTTGAAATAAGTTAAATATTACATACAAATATTGCTATCAAAAACGAAAATATCTTCGTTCTGCCGATAAACCCATACAATTGGCGATCTAACAACATAAAAAGAATTCTAAAATACTCTGGAATGTATCGAGGTAGGTCATTTAATTTACCAATGCGTAGTTCATTCTCCGACATTGTAGAAAGACAGGCTTACCAATGAATCGGGCGTACGACCACAATCTAAAGTGGTCGGTAGGATACGATAAATCTGGTATCACTTATACAAGAAAAGTCCCACTTTTTACTCAAATTACAAGAGAACAGGTAAAAAAAATTATTCATGAGAAAAAATGGCTGCCTACTAGCGAAAGTGTAATTATCTGGGTTTATCGGCAGATTGGGAACATTTTTCTCTTTCATTGAGAGAGATTCAATCCCTTTTCAAGATGGTGGTTTGATTTAAAAGGGGATTTCCCGTTTAACTGGCCCGGAAGTACCAATAAATGGAGGAATTTGACGGTTGAAATAAGTTAAATAAATATTACACGCAAACACTGCGACCAAAAACGAAAATTTCTTCATTCTGCAGATAAACCCAGATGATTGTGAATTCAACTACACAAAAAGAATGCTAAAATACCAAGGAATCTATTGAAGTAGGTATCTGAAGTGTAAAGCCCGGTATACACCAATGGGGCAAAATCCCACTTGCCCCATCGAGTCCCATCTTGCCCCATCGAATCCCAATTTGCCCCATCGAATCCCACGAAGTCCCATGGGACCTTGATGACTTTGCCCCATCGTGCCCCATGGAGTCCCATCAAGCCCCATGGAGTCCCATCAAATCCCACCGTGCCCCATTAGTGTATGTCGGGCGTCACACAACACGTCATATGATCGAAAATCCCACGATGCCCCATGGAAAGAATGAACATGTTCATTCTCGATGGGACTCCATGGGACTTCGTGGGATTTTGCCCCATCGAGTCCCTTCGAGTCCCACGTGGGACTTCATGGGACCTCGTGGGACTCGATGGGGCAAAATCCCACGGAGTCCCATGGAGTCCCACGGACTTCATGGGGCAAAATCCCAAAAGGTCCCACGAGGTCCCACGCAATGTTAGTCAATGGAGGTCCCAACTTGACCCATTGGTGTATATCGGTCTTAAGAGGCATAGAAAATTCTCCCATGTTGTAATCGTACAGGCAAAAGATTGAGACGTTCTCAGGACTATGTACAGTCCTGGCAGGGCATAATGATAAGCTATTGAAAAAGTTCATTTTGACTGAAAAAAATAGAAATAATTTAGAACAATGTTTTATCATCTAAATTACTATATTCATGATCAGTATGAATGTAAGGACTGACACTAAAAAATACTCACTGTAGTTATGACAAGTATGTCAATATCTTGAAATGTTTAATAAACCTGTACATGCAGTATTTACTTGATAAACATGGGACAGACTTTTTCACTTGCTTCCGGACCCCGCCATTGTTGTGATGAATACCCCGGATGACGGGAAATCCCTTGCAATGACGTCATTTGCGGCAAATTTAAATCTTGGGACCGATCATTGTTTCCATTTGCATTTGCCTTTATATTCCATATCACTTATTTTTTAAATGTCATCAAAATCATGTTAAATACCACTGTATATCTAAGAACCCCAGTTCGTATATACCTCTATGATGTAGCCTAAGTCTTGTGTTTTTTATGAAACGGCCTCCATAGTTCAAGCGTCACGGTATTGCAGGTGATCATTTGGTACTTGATTGATCACACGGACACATTTTCTCCTCGGAGAACGATCCAGCATCATGATGCCCTTTGTTACTGTATCTATTAACGTTCATGCAATTTGTTTACATGTTTGGGTCCATTCACTTTTTGATGACAAAAAGATCTTCATTAGGAAAAATATGATTTTGATTATTTTTGAAGAGCTGAATTGAGAATTGATGCTCAGACTTATTATTCACATTCTGATTTATCATAGTCGCTCTTTATCTAATGCTTGGGTGATTCCAAAGGATAATAGTTGCTGTGGATCCCACATTAAATTATTCGGACTTTTTGAAAATATGTTAATTAGGTGGGAATTACCCATATGTGAGTAGGTAGTTACCTGTTTCACCACCAGGTGGCTAATTCGGGTCAGATAACATGGCAGGTATATTAGTTCCCTTAAACTTGAATATCCATTAGTTTTAGTGGTCAAATTTTCATATTACCCCCATGTATCTTTTAGCAATACAAATTGAAATATGTCCAGTAAAAGAAAATATGAATTGTCCAATACAAGAAACGATATTTCACTTTTTATGATTCTATAACATGGGGTCTATGGGGAATCTCCCAGACCTAGAAGTCACATTTTCAAACAAAAACAAATTTTCAAAGCTGATAAACACTTTTTAAAACCACATTTCTAAATATAATTTATATGTAAATTTCAAATATGATATCGTTTTAACTGAATTTTGAATTTTTAATGTACATCAAGATTATTTCTACTCGCATCTAGTCTATTGATCAAACTTAAAACGGAATCGGATTGGATTATAGGTACATGCGTTATAAATGTGATAGCGCTCAATTCGTCTCCAGTCTTTAGATGCACCTTTGAAATAATTTGGAAATAGTTTGTCCCATCTAAGCCTGTCCTAATTTTATTTATAACCTACATCATAATTTTATTAATAATATTCCATTTAAAACTAGATTATTACCATAGGCATCGGATTATGTCATGGCTCCAGTCGAGTCTTGATCATTATCGTAAACAGACAATCGCTCAATCAACATATCGAGTCAATCATGCAAGAATACATGAGGGAGAACGACTCCCGGGGAACCACTTCGACAGTCACATCCTCAATCCCGTCGATGAATATCTAAGAAATTGAATCTGGTGAATTTATTTTATTTTTACTGATGTTAATATTGATAGTGTTTTAAATCATGTCGAAAGGTCACTGTAGCCTATCTGTTTTTTCTTTCTTTCTGACTCTTTATATTTAGGGACAGATTCAGGAATAGTATAAAATGTGATTACTGGGACAGATGCTTCATTTAAGACTAATAATCGAAATGAGAGACATGATCTAAAGAAAAGCTTGGATGACTAACACCAGCTAATTTATTTGATGGGTTATTGCAGAGACATAGTGCACAATCAGGTCGATTGACACAGTCAGTAGTTCATTAACCACTTTCTCCAAGCAGAAAATCAAATCGTAATAGTTTACTTCACTTTTGTATTATTCTTGTCAACTACTCCTATTGATAATCAATCGTACTATGTCATCCTTCTTCAAAGGACTTCATTTATGCCTATATACTTGTAAAATACCCTTGCAGCAAGGATGTACTATGTAAATTTAGTGATTTTGACATCCACGGTCTGCCAGTTTATTATCTCCAGATCTTGAATTGAATTTATAGTTTACTTCTTCTAATTCACACACACCACTCAGGCCCTCAGGCGTGTTCAGGGTGTTCGGGGTTTTCGAGCCCCCCCCCCCTCAACATCTTTCAATATCATGCAGTTTTCACCAACTTTAGCACTTTTCAAGTGATTTTGGGCCAAAATTGAAACTTGAACCCCTTTGATAATTTCTAAAACTGGCCCCCATTGGCAAAAGCTGCCCACCGGCCTGCTATTCTCTATAACTACAAATGTTTAATTTTTACAGTTTCACCCTTGGTCAGTTGGTATACCCAGCTAACGAAAATTGACCGGTACGGGTCAAAAGCTGGACCGGTCATGGGTTAACGGTTTTATTTGAATTTAAAACAGCCATAACTTGCTCAATATTGACTTCCTCGTGTCTAATTTGAAAAAGATGATGCCTCCCGATGCTTTTAAGTACCCCAATTTTTTACAGATTTTTAAACGGACCAAAACTCTCTAAATGCGCATTTATGCTCTTTTCTCTCGAGAACGACTGTCTCATTTTCACGATAACGTTTATTTAGTATACCAAGGGTGAGTTTCTGACGCTCTTAAGAACTCAATGATCTCAAAGGATTGGTATCGATATGGCGACAAAACGAAATATACACTATGTGTTTAGGTCTCTTAATATGTAATTGTACAAAGGAACGTTTTCAAGATTGATTTAAAAAAAGGATCTTGTTAATGAACAAGATCCTTTTGAGGTAAGGTTTACTTTAATTTTTATCTATTTTGGGGGGTTTTGTTTTAATTTTTTGAATAACTTTTTGTTTAAATCAACAAAATTTTCCTTTGAATAACTATAATATTGAGAAGTCTAAGAAAATTTTGTATATGCTATTTTGTTCAAACAAGGTTCGGAAAGATATTTTATTTCATTCTCAAGAATTTGTAGAAAGGAACAAAAAATAATTGCACTACCTACGTGAAAAATCAAAAAATGTTAACAAAAACAAAAAATATATTTCAATAATTTTCGCATTAAATTGTTGACAATCAGTGACCATTACATAAAGGACCATGTTTTTTCCAGAATGTTTTCAATAATTGGCTTAAGAGAAAAACAATGTTGAATTTAGTGCGCCATATCGATACCAATCCTTTGACATGTCAACCAATCAGGAGTTTGAATGTGAAATAAATGCCCAAAATTTGCGGATTTTTATTACATATTCTGACTAGAATTAAATTCTGAATGGATAAACTAGATTAAAATTATGTCGATCCAGTCTAAGTTAAACAGTGTAGACGCAGAGAAGTGAAGAAATTTGAAATGTGAATCTTAATACCCTTTGCATTCGTTCGACTTCACTTCTTAAAAGAGAGCTAGACTCTGCACGCATGGGTAAAATGCCTCAGAACGATAAAATGTCTTTGGATGATGCATCTATTTTCTGAATAGGTTAGTTGAAACATGGCCCGGGAACCTGGCCAATCAAGATGAAGTATGGAGCGGGGATGAAAATTAGGCTTTTATAACGATGCCAGGTTATGAGCATCCTCTTATTTTTATTGATCATAAATGTAATTTCATTTTGATCAACCAGTCTCACTGGAAAATGCGAACTACTCAGATTTCATCTCGTTTATAACTAAAGCAATAAAAGGTGAACTGGCGCAATTTATTATTTTTAAAAAACGATTCTATTGGTGTTTTCACGTGATTAATGAGATTTCGGCTATTTTATAGATTTGATTGGAAAACACAACTTCTGTTTGATGAGATTCGAATCAGTTTTATATCCTGGTAATTGCTTTTTATGAAGCTATTGGTTACAGTAACGACGATGTGGATTAAATTGATATTTTTGTCGCATAAGTAACATGGTTATATCCCTTGAGTTATCTTGGTTATTACCATGACGACGAGATGATTTGACTAACCGTTGACCGGGCAGTTGACAAGGTCGCAACACCATTCATTCTTGCCCATAGGATATCGCAAAGTGAATCAGTGATACGGTTTCTGAGTTATGGACACACGCTGGTGGAAGATTATCGAGATCACGCCTGTTGTTGGCCTATACTGATCTACGGACACACCTGGTACTCACTGGCCTATGATCAAATTGCATATAACAATATTACAACTCGCCTAACTAGAGAAGAACATGCCGACTTACTCAATCCAAAATGGAAATTCCTTGTATACTATATCCAAGACCAATTCTTCAAGTGGACTAAGAAACCAATAGTTATTCGAAGAGCTCTCCGATAGCCAATTTGCGTATAGCATCGTACTTGAAGCAAATTTGGCCAAATAGAGATCAAGAGAGGACACAGAAAACATGCGAAAATAATAGAAACGCAGAAGTAGAACATAGACACCGTGTATCGACACGTCTAAGAATTGCAAGAATAGTATAAGCAGAGTCTAAAACAAAACAAGACACAAAAATAACAAGAATAAGGGGAATGCAAAATTCGCAAGCAATAAACACAGAAAAGCAAGAACGTAAGTAAGCCAGTAAAAAACCAAAGAACTACAACAAGACTATACACAAAAATAAAGACTTGGAGTAAATTGAATTATATATAGCACAAGCTGGTGTGCAGAGAGACCCCAAGGGAATGAAAATTAGTAGGAGCAGGATAAATAATTTCATTCTGCCACTTATCGGACATAACTATTAGACGAAGACGACTATGCCAAGGATGATACAGCCAGCTTAGCTTAATCTTTCAAGTCTTAGATCTCGTTCTCATTATAGACCAAGGTAATGATAAAGCCGCATTATAAAAAGCTTTACCTGCAATTAATTGATTGTGCGCTTTCGTTTTTGAGTCAATCAAAATTGTAAATTGAAAATGGAAAAAGAAATGTTTTTATGGCAAAAGCGGTAAAGCAAGGCACAGGAGAATAGTAAAAGCAGAAATTAGCAGAAATCACTGAGGAACAGTTGTTGTTTTAGATAATACCAAAGTTATTTTGGAGGAACTGAAAGGCTTTGGATCAGTTGGGATTTCGCTGTAACATAATTCAAAATCGACGCAGGTATGTTTGTACTTGGTCATTTACGTTCTGTTCGGTGCATCAAACAGGCGTTG